GAATTTCATTTTACACCGTTAAAAACCATAAATTCACCCGGTATAGGTCCTCTATAAAACAATTTCGATAGGAATTTGCGATCACGTAATTACACAAAAAAATGTGAAGTAATATACGTCTAATGTTTTGCACAAAATTTTATAGTAATATTCTTCTTTAAAGTCCTAATTTATATGAAAAGAAAATGAGTATGAATTTAAATAAAGTACTGCTTGCGTAGTACTACTTCCGGTTGACGAATTTAATTCAAATTTTGACACAACATTACCCTTTTGGTCTTATAATCATATGCCAAGTTTCATAAAGCTAGCTAATTGCTAACACCAAAATAATATTTTCGATCGGGTTTTCTTACCGCTCGGACCACTGTGCATGGGTCCACATCAACAAATGTTACATATCAAATTACAACTAAGCGTTATCTACTCAATTCCTTTCTCCAAGTCTCTCTATCCTGCGTATCCTCTATCTTGAGATATCTCACATTGCCTTTGCGATGCCGTCATTTAAACCCATTTAAATAACTTCGTCGGCTAGAGATTGTCATTCACCTCATCAGGTGTCCAAACCACCGTAAACCTCTTACTTTGATTCTGTCTATCACTGTCGACGTTGTTTTTATGCGATTTCGACATTAGTTATTCGTTGCAGTCTTAACACCTTCGCGCTTCTTCTCAAATAGTCCATCTCGACCGCCTGAAGCTGTTTTTCTTCTAGATCTGCGTTTACTGCCATAAACATATCTCATTACCATAGCCCAGGATAGACTCTACTAGTGTTTTTCCCAGTTTTTTTTTTATGTTCTTAAGGCATCCTATAATTTTCCTGCTTGCAGTTATTCTATGTTTTATCTCTCTTTCCACCAATACCAAAAGTTTAGGGAAATGTAGGTCCTTTATGAACCTTTGATTTGTTCTAAGGTCTTGTTCCTTTATGTCTCAGCTTGTCCAATATGGAAGAGGTGGTATTTTAAGGGTGCATGGCCGGTCAGGAATAGATATATTCTATCTGTAACATAATTTGATACTTACTAACATATTAAAATTAGAAATTACCATGATGACATTACTTGTATACGACATTTTTAATTTTTCTTCTTTAAACGCTTCTTTCTTTATCACTTCATTAAATTATTTACGTTTTCAAATAATTATTAACTTTAAAAAGTAAGGTTAAAGCAATTTTTTTGACAATTTATTATTGACAAGACGCCGCACAGTGGTCTAAATTCGAAAAAACCCGAACAAAAATATTTTAACGCAGTTTGGGTTGAGATAATTTTTTGAAACTTGGTATGTGGCTATAGGACTATATGCTAAAGACTTTGTGAACTTTTGGATCACATATGTCAACCGGAAGTACTAATTTACTTGAGGCCACAGTCTATTTTTTTCATATAATTTAGGTCCTTAGAATTGGATAAAAACAAAATTTTATACAACGCTATTAAATCGTGAAGGATAGCTAAATACAAAATTGTTTAAACTAAATTGGTTATATAGTTTACTTCGATGTAAGGTTTCTATAAATAAATCTTTAACTACAGAGTGTCTCACATATCTGGTTCGTTAGAACTTTTTCAGGTTCCACTATTCGTACAATTTTGAAATTTTGGTAGCATGGGTTGTTCATTCGGAACTTTCAATCTAAAATATTTTCAAGATGGCTGCCACTTCCGGTCTACCGAAGTAGACCATAACTTCGTTATTTTAAATGGAATGCTATAGTTTTTATTACACCATTTGATTGTACGTAAAAAATAGGTCAACTTTGATAAAAGTTATTGGTTTAAACTTTTTTTGGTAAATTTCACCATGCTCTTTAAAACCCCATATCTCAGCCAACGTTCATTCAAAAAAGGTCTAAATTGGTACGATTATTCTTCAAGTGCTGTCAAGTAGATTGTCATTTGTTGTATCGGAGTATGTTATACAGGCTGGTCCAAAATTGAATTATTGTTTCTCCATTTTCAATGGCGAGAAAGTAGAAACGTTACTTCATCTACGTTGCTTAACAATATGTGTTTCTTCTTGTTCTGTTTCAGACCATTCTTCGTCATCTTCATCTTCGTTGCATCCTGCCTCATATAGCTCTTGTTCTGATTCTTGTTCTTCGTCATATTCATCTTCTTTTTCGCCATCTTTTTCTTCTTCCTGGTCTTCTACATTGTCTATTATAAGTAATCTTTTAGTCTCCATACTCATCTTTTTATGTTTTCTAGAAATGTGCTGTTGAAAATTACTTATAAATGGATGTGAGCTGAGTAGCAGTCTTTTAAATAGATCTTCATTCGTATCCAGTCTACTACATTTCCTTGTGTGGCTCTCTCTAAATTTTCGGATTTTTTTGTTATTAGCTTCTTGCGCTTCTTCCGACAACTCTCCAATAGGTAGTAGAGCTTCTTTAATGACTGCAGATCCATGTATCAAAATTTTATGAACGCTGGTTGGCATATAGTACCAACTATAAAATGGACGTACTTTTCGGCAGTTTTGAAACAATATTTATCAAATTCATTGTAATTAATATTGTACCCACTGTTTATTGCAGCCAAAACAACGCCAAATCGCTGTATTAGTTCCTCGTCAATTCCTTAAATGAAGTATAAAGTGATTAGTACATGCGCGCTTACTATAAAATTGTCATAACAGTAATCTCTGATGATAATTTATTAAAACTACGTATCAACTAGTCACCTTCCAAGTTCTAATTTCTAATCTATATGAAATGTGAGGCAGACACACAAAAAACCGAATGTATGCATGGAGAACAGACAAACCAAACTTAAAACCTTCTAGCTCTACCGTTCATCTGTGAAATTTTTGCTCTGCATAAATAACATTCCATTCCAGATGATTCCTTCAAATTCCCATCAAAGAATTACAGACCTACAACATGTATGAATAATTCAAATAAAGTTTTAAGAAAACGAAGACTTTATACCTTGCCATCCACCATCGTGAAATAAAGAGAAAAGTTAACACTTACACATTTTGAGGTATATGGCTGAAGGGAGCTTATTTGGTTTGAAATATATATTTTTCTTCGGTTCTTATAAGAGCGGCATTTTCATGCACCCATTGTAATCTAATCGGTCTACAAAACCGTATAGATTATGGTGTGGGGTTCTTCCACAATACAATATTATTATCATTGTCTTCCAATCGTAATGGGACTAGGAAGACACAAATAGCGAATCATGTTTTCCCTCTGCATTTGTGATGAACTTTTGTTTATAAGTCGAATGACATCCGCTACCATCAAACCCCCACTTACAACGTAATATAGAATTTACATTTACATTTGGATAATTATCGAAACATTTAAAAAAAATTTTTTAAATATTATTTAATAAAACTGGTTCGAAGTGTTTCTGAAGAAAGTTGCAACATGGCATCCGAAACGTCAAACCTTTTCTTAAAAGACGCACGGCAAAACCCGAAAGTTTCTAGTGTTAGTTCTAGTTTTAGTTCTAATTTTAGTTCAATTAACTCCGGCCGTGAAAGCCTTCGTACTTACAAAAAAAGTAGATATTTCAAGTGTTCCAGTTTTTTGCCGCACTGTATCTAACAACCACTTCCGGTTGTTAGATATGCCTGAAACTTTAAGTCTGGTATTCTATTATTGTTATGCAAGTTTACACCAAATATATGAGATTTATCTTTTAAGAAAAAGAATATAAGCATTTTATATGAAAACGGTCAAATAACACACTCAGTCACTGATCATCTTTGATCGTTAATATCTTGGAAAGGAGCAAGTTAAAGCAAGATGTGGTTATCATGTTATATAGAGCACATCTCAAAGAATAAGAATATTCTAGCGACAAAAGTTCTTCTTGCGTCTTCTGCGAGATATATATGTTAAAACATTTGGTTGTAACTTCAAGTAGGTGTTAATTAGCTTTAAAAGAAGTGCTTATTACGTATTTCTGCAAAAATATTTTAAAAATTAGAAAAGTGCCAAATGAAGACCTTTCTATACTGTTCAAGATAGCAACAACGCATTGTCTTGAAAAAGTGGAACACAACATATTTTCTTCATCTAAAGTTGTAGCATTTTATGATATTTAATACACAAGAATTGTAGTACTGTTTTATTGCGTACAGTTAGCACTAGAAAGTACATAACACTTTATTCCTTTCACCTCTCAGTCTATTAGGACCTAAAGTACATATAACATGTAAAAAAAAAACGAAAAAAAAAATTTCGAAAATTTGATTTTCGTTCACATTTTACCGCTTGTGGACCACTGTGCGCCGTCATTATGACCAACCTTAAAAATTAAGTAATACTTAATACACAAAGAAATAGAAATTATTATTTATATATCCATTTATTTAGTGCAGCTATACTTTACCAACATTTACATTTTAAATACAAGTGCTCCATTTCGTCGTATTATATAATACTTATATTAATACATAGTTTTTTATGTATAATTAATAATAACCGTGTAAATGCATAAATACATTTTAAAATATCGACAAACAATTGATTTATCATTTAACATTTTATTTCGTTTCGTTATTTCGCTTTTTAGCATCAATTAATTTAATAACATTATATTTTTTTGGCTTTTCTTTTACGAAGATATGTATCGGCTAAGGTAAACACACCAATTAAGTGTGTATTAAGTATCACTGTAACCTGTTTCGGTGAACGTTTCCTTTTTAATCCACCAGGCAAACACACATCGATTGTATACAGCTTAAATTGGTGTTTTAAATTAAGAAAAAACGTTTTCTATAAGTTTTAATATCACTTTTTTTGTTGGTTTTTGTTTAAGCAGGATTCTTTTCTAACGTTTATTTACATTTAAACAAAAACAATTTTTTAACACACTTTTTATACATTTATAAACAATTTTCAACAAAAAAAAACCTAATTACTTTCTTTACCAATCATATGAAGTAGAAGCCACCAATATTGGTTGTTGTATTTCTATTTGTGTCACAGCTGTTGGAAAACTGCATCTGTTTCCTTTATTCATCTATGTGAAATAGTGAATTTATTATAAATTAAAAAATTTTTTGACAAGTGTCAACTTGACGTTTTCAATAATGAAATTGGTTTATAGCGCCATCTATTAACACCAACAACAACTAATCGCAAGAAATGTCAAATTGACAATTAAAATGTCAATTTTTTTATTAGTAATTATTTATTTATAAACTAATACTTACTTCTTACCTGAAATCCTGAATATTTTGTTCCACCCCCATTATTTTGATGCATAAACGGATTTGGGTTACCACCGGGAATATCTAAAGTGCCGCCAACTCCCGTTTGATACGTAGCCCCATATCCATCCCCTTGATTCGCTAATTCATGTAATTTCGTGCTGGATAAAGCCCTCGGAATCGGGTTACTAGGTACTCCATGGGGTGCTAAATGCGACGTTTCTTCCGCAACTTGCCGCGGATCTTCCGTTTGTGGTAAATCAGAAACAAAGGTGCCCTGATCGACGCGATAAAAATTAATAAACACAAACGCTGCCAAAACGACGAGACAAATTAGACCATAACCGCGAAAAGTAGCTGTTGATCCGAACGAATTTACGAATAGTCCACCGATTACAGCACCACAACCTCGACCTAAACCGTGATGGATTCCTTGAAGAACACCTTGAGCTGATGAGCGAAGTTGTTGAGGGGTGTTATGAGCAATATAAGAGCAACAAGCTGCCCAAACAGCGGCGTGGGTGATACCCTAAAAAGAGCATTTTAAAATAAATTCGTTGCGATTAAATAAATCTTACCTGCATAAACTCAAAGGGAAGTACCCACCATGGATTCGTCAACCAAGAAATATACAAAAACCTCAAAGTGTTACCAACCAATCCTAAACAAAGCACCTTAACGTGTCCCATTTGTCGAATCAATCTGAAGCTAAAGAAATAAGCGAAAATTTCCGAAATATGATTAATAACGGAAGCGACCCCAAACAACGTAGGGGAACCACCATAATCCTGAAGATGCCAAAACAGAAACGTAAAAATTAACCCAATTCCAAATCCCATAAACCAAGCCACAAACAAAAACGATGCACACTTTAAATTTTTAAATTGAGTCAAAACTGTCATCCATTCAGGCATTTCCCTGATTGTTTGGGCAAAAATCTTCGATTTAGCCTCAGATTGAGGTTGATTTTGATCGGGGATTGGTTGATTCACCGCCCTGGTATTAGCCAAAGATGGTAAATTTAATTGTTCGGCTAATTGGGCTTGCATCTGGTCTTCGTACGTCATCGGTGGTGGTTGTTTCTCATTTTCACCTTTTTGTTGCTCCTCATCCGGTAATTCATCGTATTTAAAACTGATTTGCGTGGCCGTTATTAAAGCGGCCCCCATTAATACCGAGAAAGTCGCGAAACATATCGTGTAATTTTTTTCTTTCTGTTGTGGTCCACACGGATGGTTCGGAAAAGCTGTTGAGTGATCTAAAGCGATCCCAACGAAAAACATTGCTAATCCCCAACCTACAAAGAAATTATGCATTAAGGAGATAAAATTATACTGATTATCTACCTAACGATCCAAACATTCGTTGATGACCATATCTATCAGCATCCTCACCCAAAATTGTTATAACGGCAGAATCAGCCAAAGTGATTGCAGGGGCGCTAAAGAATTCTCCAATAATCACTAATAACAATAACAAGAAAAAAGCTTTCTCAATATCTTGAGTACGATAAACGATTGAGCTAATAATCGGTTGAACCCAACTGTGATGATCTTTTGGTTTATAATTCGATGCATAATCAACGTTTATCGGCGATTGTCCGGCATTTATCACCAATTTAGTCGACCTAGAAACTCTAATATGACCCATTCCATTTTCAAAACCACCATTTTCCTTTATAAATCGTTTATTAATTCCTCTAGTAACTTCCGGTGTTTTTAACGTCGCTGTATGATTCTTAATTTCCATACAACTGGTTGCTGGTGGTTGGATTGAACCTAAAGGAACGGTGAAGATGATCCAAGCCCCGAGGGATAAAAGAAGAAGGATTTTTCCCTTTCGATATCGATCGGCTATGCTACCCCAGAATGGGGCTGATAAAAATTCGACGAACGGTCTTGAACCGATCAAAAAGCCACATTGACTCGCATTCATCCCCATCTGTTTAAAATAAACACCCATGAGGGGGAATAAAGAACCAAAAGCGGAATAGAAACAAAAATAGAAACTTTTGACGATTAAAAGTTCTTGATCGACTGAGCCGAAAAGCATCTCGAGTATATCGGATTTACCACGGATTTTATGAGTTGCTTCTTTTGGTTCGGGATAACTAAAAAATTATTAACAAAAAAAAAATTGATAATAATAAAATTTTAAATTCTTACATAGACGGATCTACTTCGCCTTCCGCTTCGGGGTCGACCAGAGGTCGGGCCCCTTTAGACGCCCCTTGCATGGGGTACTGATAATTTTCATCCATCTATTTACACAGAAGAAAGCTTCAATGTTTTACAAGGTTGCTGTGGAACGCGAATCAATTCAACATTAAACCCTACTTGAAAAATCAATAGCGGGGTACACTCTTATGGTTATCTTGAGAACTAACCCGCAAATATTTTTTTTGATGATAAATCTTGTTTATTTTGATAACCACGATCAAAGAGAAGTATGTCTATTATTATTTCTGTTTTAACTTTAATTATTTGGTTATTATTTAATTTAAAAAGTTGTATGTGATAAAACAGGATTCTTCCCGTTATGTTAACCCGAAAATCAAAGCGTCATCTAGGGACTGTTTCAAAATTCAATGTCATTGGAATAAACTTTTTGAGTTTAAGTTGAATCAGTGTTGCCAAACGTACGATAATTATTTCAATTCATATACAATACAATAATACACTGAAACTCATTATCGTACGATAATTTGGAACATCTATTTTCAACACAACTTTATTTTTTATATGAAATTTGCACAACTTTATAAATGGATTATTTTTTGCGAATTCTGCAATTCTTTATTCATATACAGGGTGTCCCGCAACGATTGTACAAAACTGCATCAATGTATACTATGATCAAAAATAAACAAAAAAAGCTTAATAAACATAGGTCCGAAAATGGACTATTTTCGAGATATTCAAAGATTCAGTTTCATAAGTTGATGTTGTTAATTAACATCATGAATTTAAATTTGTTTTTATAATAATTAAGTCGTTACTATGATTACGATAAGTTGTCTAATCAAAAAAAAATAATAATACTTCACGAAATTATTATTTTACTATTTAATTTAATAAAACTATTAAGTATGGCTCCTATTAATTACTCCAAGGAAGAGATGGCGGATATGGTGTATTGTTACGGACTAGCTGATGGAAATGCGTCGTTAGCAGCTCGTCATTACGCGCAAAGGTTCCCGAACAGACGATTGCCTAATAGTCACACCTTTAGCAGACTATTTCTCAGATTAAAAGAAACGGGAAGCGTAACCCACAGCCATTCCACGGAGAGACATTACACAAGGCCGGTGGAATTAGAAGAAGCAGTTTTGAGAAGAGTCGATGAAAATGCCTCAACCAGCATTAGAAGAATTTCTGCACAAGAAAACATTAACAAAACAACCGTTCACCGCATTTTAAGGGAGCAGTTGCTTTATCCTTATCATTACAACACCGTTCAAGCTCTAACAGAAAATGATGGCGAAAAAAGAGAGATTTTTTGTAGGTGGGCCATACAGGAAGAGGTAGTAAACGTCGACTTTCCCATAAACATTGTATTTACGGATGAAGCAACATTTACTCAAAGCGGAATTTTTAATATTCATAATGCGCACGTTTGGAGCGATGAAAATCCCCATGCAATACTAGAAACTCATCATCAGTGGCGATTCAGTGTTAATGTATGGGCTGGAGTTATAGGTGATCAGTTATTAGGTCCATTTTTTCTTCCAAAGAGATTGACAGCCGATGCCTACATACATTTTTTACAAAATGACCTTACAGAGGCATTTGATGAATTACCTCAACAAATTCTAGAAGATTGCTACTTTATGCACGATTATGCACGCGCTACTCGAGCATACTTAAATAACAGATTTGGCAATAAGTGGATTGGCCGAGGATGGCCACCTCGTTCACCAGATTTAAATCCGTTAGATTTTTGGTTTTGGGGACATTTAAAACAAATTGTTTATTCTGAAGACGTTCAAAATGTGCAGGATTTGAAGAATAAAATTAGTAACGCATTTGACACAGTAAAACAAATTCCTGGTATCTTTGAACGCATTAGAAGTTCATTTAGAAAACGTATCCGTTTGTGTTTAGAAGTAAATGGTGCGCATATTGAACATTTATTATGACATGAATCTTTTCCAATTTGTTAAATATTCGTTGTTTTTATGCTGGTTGAACGATTTTCTTCGACAATCTTTGTTACTTGTTTTGTTAAATTATTAATGAACTGTATTAATTAACTTAATATTAGGTTTGTTCGAGCAGCGGCAAAACCAATCTGCAAATTGGGAGACACATGCGCAGTATGGTAACGGTGTTCGAGCAGTAAATAAATCCCGAATTCTGACTTTTTCGACTACCAGTCGTGTGTTCGATCAGAATTTAGGATTAGTTGGGTACTGGTTGGGTATAGTTTTTACAATTTGCTGACTTTCGAAAAATTGTTGACGGATTGTGTACTGTCATGCGCAGTGGATACTTTGCTAGTTTGTTGGTAATAAACGTAGCACGTCGAGAGGGCAACACAATCGATTTATATTTGTAAACACAATATCCGCTTTATTAATCTGTAATTGTTGTTAACACGTTCTTAAGTACCTAGTATAAATCAGAGTATAACTAATCATGTCCGATATTTCGTCGTCAAGTGAAGATGTGCCTTTAGTAAATTTTGAGTCAAGTGATGATGACTTAGAAGGTGAATTACTTGATACACCAGTGCGAATAAGGCCAAAAAATGAAGAGTACTTCGAAATAACAGTACAACAGTATAGCGACTCAGAATTTATGGAACATTTTCGTTTGAGTAGAGTAGTTGCTGAAGATCTAGCAAATCGATTTAAAGCCAGCCAGTATTATAATTATCAAGCCGGAGGAAATGGAAAATTAACAGAAAAACAACATATATTAATATTTCTGTGGTTTGCTGGTCATCAGACGGGTTCTTTCCGAGATGTAGCTGATAAATATAAGTTACCTACAAACTGTAATCCAGTGAACAGTGTATTTTATAAGCAACCTATCAGACGAAGTAATACAATGGCCATATACAATGTTTAATACAATGTTTTCATATTTTTACTGTTCGAGCTGTGACAAATATCGTACTAGTTCGCAATTAATTGTTACGTGCGCATGCGCATTCATGAATGCACTAATTTGTCACAAACTAATACCTAATTCTCTGCTCGAACAAACCTATTATCTTATTATTTATTAAACTTTATCTTAACCATCGTAACCATGGTAATCATATAATTACTGCATCTAAATCGTTAGAATTAATGATGTTTACAATAGGTCAGCTTATGAAACTAAAACTTTGAATATCTCGAAATTAGTCCATTTTCGGACCTATGTTTATTAGACTTTTCTTGTCTGTTTTCGATCAGAGAATACGCTGATGCAGTATTGTACAATCGTTGCGGGACACCCTGTATGTATTGTTTCCCAGCTCGAGATTCTGATAAATCACCTAAGGCTGATATTGAGATAATCAGAGCCATACTAAGATCAGTTTGCATCTTATCTTTTGCAGAAGTTGGCCAAAGTGGACGTTACATCGAACGCCGCATCAAGCAACACGAGAGGAATCACCGACTGAATAAAATCCAATAATCTGCAATCGCGGAGCTTTACTATAAAGGAGGACACATCATGGAGTTCGACAAAATTAAAGTGCTAGCAAGAACCGGACATTAAGATTAGATTTCGTTACTTCGAACTTGTTTTTGAAGAAGGTTCCAACATGGCATCCAAAACGTCAAACAACCTAAGCTTGTAGGTCTAGTGCAAGGTTTATAGAACATAAGGTTACCTCATTCCCTATGCCTCTGTAGTATCGATTATTACCCCGCAGATTGACGTCACTGGTTCGATACAGTCAAAATAAAAGATAGCCTATACGTGCCTATACTGTGGTACAGTCTATATAAAATATATAAACCTCGCATCGTGTTGTGCTGTTCATAGAACCAGCTACGTCACTGACCCACCTTGCCTCTCAGAGGAGGAGAATCGGTATTACCTTATGTTCTATAGACCTTGGGTCTAGTGTTAAAAATTTTATTTAAAACACGTTTGTTTACATACAATTCCACAAAAAAATGAGGTTATGTTACTTAGAGCCTCTACCTAATCTAAAAAATCGGTCTAACTATTAATATTTTTGTATAAACTTACCCCGAGTAGCTTCAAACACTCCTAAATGTAATTTCACCGTTTATATTGTTGAATTTCCCGGAAAAATCAGTTGGAATATGAAGTAAGAGACGCTTGGAAAATGGCGGTTTCTTTAACGTTGATTAGCAATTGTTTTAGCAAAGTGGGATTTGCGCTCTGAGATGGCACCACTTATTTTTAAAATATTAAACATTTTATAAAAAATTGTTATAAAATAATAATAAATATAAAATAAATAAAAATGAACAATAAAAAATATAATACTAATTTATTTAACATATTTAATTACCTATCAGAGCACCATCTTTTGGGTTTCTTAAGAAATAAAACTTTAATATACTTTAAATCAATCATTTAGTTTGATTCATTATTTTCAATTAATTAATTTATAAGTTTATTATTATTAAAAGTTCTTTTAAATTATTTATAAATTTATTTATAAATCAAATGTGGCTAACTTCAATTCGTGTTTCAAGGCTTCAATTAAGTTTATTTATTAACTTTGATTTGAGTTTATTTTTGTGAAATCATTTGATTTAAAATTAACAGTTTCTTTTGAATTAAAAAGAAAACAATAAGAAGACGAAAAAAAGTTTTTGAAATTGTAAAGATTTTTGTACTTGTTAAACTGACCCTATTTACATCGGGTAAATACCTCGGAGGGCCTCCTCGTTGGATTTTCATAATTTAGGTGGGCGCTTGCGCAACACACGAAGCTTTAACCCTTTAAGGTGCTTTCAAGTTGTGGCGCGTTCAGTTTAAACTTGTCTTTCATTTACGACGTGACAATCTAAATTGCAAAGTTTTTCATAAAAAAACTTTAAAGTAATGGGATATGAGGTAAGATTAATTGTTATTAATAGTTTTAAACATAAAAAGATTCTTTTTTATTATAATTAGTATAAAAATAAGTTGTGAAAAGTTTTAAATAAAGTTGCATAAAGTAGCATGACGTTTAAACGTCAATTTATTTTGACGTTTAAAAAATATTTTTAGGTTACATTTATTTAACCATTTAATTAATACTACTAATATTGAATAAACTCTTTTAACAATAATATCTTGAAAAATAAATGACGCATCAAGTGTTTTTAATAGAAATTATTTTTCTACATTCCTAACATTTTTTTCTTTGTATTTCCAATAATAAAAAAAAAATAATTTATATTATTTATTAAGTGAAAAAATTCTTGATATTCTTACAAGTACAGTTATTTTTGCAAAGCTTTGAGGTGTAATTAAAACTGAAATTGATAAATTCACGATCGATTGACCGGAAACAAAACGACGATTTCAAAGACAAAGAAAAGGGGTTAAAAGGTTAATTTAAAAAAAGTTTTTCCTTTCTTTTCTTTTTTATTCATTATTTAGAGGTGATTAGTGAGAAGCGACAGATGCTAATTTCTTGTAGCAACTTTAATTTTCCCCTTATTTAATTAATTATCCAGTTGATGAGACGAAAAGTGACTTGGTAAAGTTTGCAAAAAAAGGTAGTTATCATGAAAGCTTCTTAATGTGTTTTTTAGACTTTTCTGATTACGATAATATCTAAAAGTGTTTCTTTTTTTAGTACCTCTATCAGTATTTTATCGATATTTCAGCTTGAACAACATCAAAGCGCGTATTAAATGATACATTTACTTTTAATTAATGAAGAAAAATCATTTTATCAAAAAGGTGTTAAGAGCAATGAAAAACTTCTTGGAGTCGTTCCAAGAAGTGTTGTATAGAATTGAGAAATGAAAATTATTGTGCGCCGACGAAAACTGATCTCGTAAATTTCACGAATTTTCTCGCCAAGTTTTTGGAATGGTAAATATTACGTGTTTAGATGAAGTTTTTACTAAACATTTTTAAGTTGAATTAGGATACGTTCCAACACGTCGAAATTCAAAAAAATCTCATTGACTTTATTGGAATTAAGAAACGATTTATATCACAAATTAAAGATAAAAGATGTTATTTTCAATATCATATAAAAATTACTGAGATAATAATAAAAATTTGTAGAAAAGTCTTTAAAAGGAATTAAGTTGAATTAGGATACGTTCGAAAACGTCAAAATTTAAAAAATCTCATTATTGACTTTATTTATTGGAGATAAGATACGATTTATATCACAAATTGAAGATAAAAGATGCTATTTTCAATATATAAAAAATGCTGTGTTAATGATAAAAATGTGTAGAAAAAAATCTTTAAAAGGAATTAAGTTGAATTAGGATACGTTCGAAAATGTCAAAATTAAAAAAAAATCTCATTGACTTTATTTATTGGAGTTAAGAAACTATTTATGTCACAAATTGAAGATAAAAGATGCTATTTTCAGTATTATATAAAAATTGCTGAATTAATAATACAAATTTGTAGAGAAAAAGGTCTTTAAAACGAATTAAGTTGAATTTTAGGATACGTTCGAAAACGTCAAAATTTAAAAAGTCATCGATTTTATTTAGTGGAGTTAAGAAACAATTTATATCAAAAATTGAAGATAAAAGACGATATTCTAAGGTATAATATAAAAATTGTCGTGTTAATGTTAAAAATTTGTAAAAAAAAATTCTTTAAAAGAAATTAAGTTGGATTAGGTTATGTTTGAAATGTCAAAATCGCGTTTTAGCGTACAGCCACAAAGAATTGATTCTAGGTAATTCACTATCACTTACATTCTCAACCTCGCCATAATCGCTGAAAAATTCTTCATCATCACAAACTTTCATTGAAATTTTTATTATCATCGTCATAAAAAGAATTTAATTCTGACAGTTTAGGTTAGCTTACTGCTGTCACTTATAAACTATCGAGAAGTTAGCAACAAATTTTTACAACGGTTTTTTCATCTTTGGTCAGCTTTAGATTGTTATATTTTTCATTAAACTAAAACTAGAAGTAACACTAAACTTACAATTAGAACTAGAAAAATTCAGAAAACTAACAAAACCAACGAAAAAGAACCATAAATTTTCTTGGTTTTAATCTATTTATTGTTGGCGAAGTTCACCATGTCAGAATAACAGAGTGAAAGTAACAAAAAGGAGCATGATAAATTTCTGTTTTCGTGGTAATTTTGGCAAAGAACGCTTAAATTTATGTCGCTTTTAACCGGTTTTAGCTTTTTAAATTTTTTCTTTTTGTTGATTTAGGTTTAAACCAAGAAAAAAAGAAAATGTTTTTACCCATTTCAATAACTGACAAGAAATGGAAATCCATTTCTACGTCGTCATCTTCATAATCTTCCTTTTAATCATCATCAACGAAGGAAACGACGACCAACAAATCTCAGCCTTTTTAAACGGCGATTTTATCATCGGAGCGTTACTTCCAATTCATCATCAGCCGTCGTTAATAAATAAAATTTCGGGTCACATTATAAAATGCGGTTCAATTCGCGAGAACTACGGAATACAACGTGTTGAAACTGCGTTTCAAACGATCGATAAGATCAATTCCGATCCAAATTTACTTCCAAATATTACGTTGGGTATTGAAATTCGCGATGAGTGTTGGTACGCCCCCGTAGCTCTTCAACAATCAATCGAATTGATAAGGGACGCTGTAAAACCGCATCCCGGAACAAGTACTAATGTTTGCTATATTAATCAGACGGAAATGAAATCGAAATTTACCGAACAAAGGGGGCCGCTAATTGGCGTTATCGGACCCGGATCGAGTTCTGTTGCGCTACAAGTACAGAATTTATTACAATTATTTCATATACCACAAGTTGGGTATTCAGCGACATCAAAAGATTTATCCGATAAAAGTCGATTTAATTATTTTTTGAGGGTCGTCCCAAGCGATTTTTATCAAGCTCAAGTCATTTTGGATATCGTAAGAAATTATGGATGGACTTATGTTTCAGCCGTTAACACTAATGGTAAGTAATTCGCAAGAAAAAAATAGTATTGATTGTTGAGGGATGTAAAACGAGAGAGTTCAAGCAAACACAACAATGAGAATCCGGGAAAACGCGAATAACCTGAATCTTTTGTTTTATGTTTGGTTAACGACGTCTTTGTTTCTATGTCATTAATTCTTTAAAACACTTCAACATCTTCAATTATTATTATTAACAAAGTTATATTTTTACGTTATCATAAAAGTATATAACTGAAACGATTTCTATGACTATATAGCAGTAATAAATCTTATTGTTCCATAAACGGGTTTATTAGTGCTTAGGTGTTATCGTATTGATATTACACGCTATTTTTTATCATCATTTCAGTAATAAAGGCATATCATACCAATAAAGTTATGCAACCAAACTGACACACAACTAACGAAAGCAAAAAATTAAACAAATTAATAATTGAAATAATTAGTAATTCATCCATTATTATAAAGTTATTCTTCAGGTTATGAAAACGTTCCTCCTAGAATTCTTAATCCTTTAATTTTATCTATTTAAACTGTTAAATTTGACCTGTCACTGTCAATTATAAATCATAAATACCAACCTAAATTATTTTTTTGATAGAAAACGTCATTAAAAGGAATTAAGTTGAATTAGGATACGTTCGAAAACGCCAAAATTTAAAAAATCTCATTGATCTTATTTTTTGTAGTTAACAATTTATATCACAAATTGAAGATAAAAGACCGTATTTTAAGGTATGATATAAAAATTGCCGTGTTAATGATAACATTATATAAAAAAAGTTCTTTAAAAGGAATTATTATTACATTGATTTAGGTTATGTTCGAAACGTCAAAATTGTGATTTGACATTTGATACATTTTGAGACGTCAAATTGACAGATATTAATTTTATAATGATAAAATTAATTATCTATTTATTTCTTTAATTATTAAAATTATAATCAAACTAGATTTAAAATCTCATCATAATTCACAATTTCCTTATTCTCCACAATTTCCTTTTTATTCGTCACGTTCCAATTTGATTTGATTTGCGATTTTTCATTTTACACAGAAAATTACGGCCAATCCGGAATTCAAGCGTTCCGGGAACTCGCCGAACAAACGGAAGTTTGCATCGCCCGAGAATTTTCCGTTCTTAGTAACGACAAAGAAGAAATCTTCGAAAAAGCCATCAAAACATTAGATCAAGATAAACAGGCGGTGGTCGTGGTGTGTTTTTGCGAAGGTTTTACCGTTCGAGGACTTTTAGAAGCAACGAAACGATTGAATATGACAAACCGTTTCTTGTTTATAGGAAGGTAAACATAACAGCAATTAAATAATTAATATTGACTATTCTATTTGTTTTAAAAGTGATGGTTGGGCCGATAGAAGTGATGTAACAGAAGGAAATGAAGAAATCGCTTGGGGTAGTATTTCAATTCGAATTCATTCTCCAATTGTAAAAGATTTTAAAAATTATTATTTAAAATTAAATCCTCACAAAAATCTAAGAAATCCATGGTTTAAAGAAATGTGGGAGGATTTTTTCCATTGTTCGTTAAATAAACAAATTGGAAACGATAAACTCAAAGAAAAATGTACCGGTAAGTTCAAAAAACTAAATTTCTGTCATATCTGCATGTATTATTGATTTTAGGTAAAGAACGTTTCCCAAAAAACCATCGTCAAGATGCGAAATTAAGCTTTGTTGTTAAAGCAATTTATAGTTTAGCTCACGGACTTCATAACATGCAAAAAGATCTTTGCCAGGGCGCTTTAGGCGTTTGCCCCAAACTTCAATCGTTCAACGGATCATTATTTAAAGTGAATACTTCAAAACAAACAGTTTCAAATAAATCAATCTAATTTTTTTAAGAGTTATTTAATGAACGTTTCATTCGAATACGAAAACGACACGGTTCAATTCGACGAGAACGGAGATCCGCCAGGAAAATACGTTATATTAAACTACCAAAGAAAAATGAACGACACTTATGACTACGTAGAAATTGGAAACTGGCATAATGGGACGTTAATGTGGCACAAAGAGATCCAATTTGGAAATAGAACTGAAGTTAGTTCAGTTTGTTCGATGCCGTGCAAAGTTGGACATTATAAAGTTAAATTGATTTTTGGTTAAAGTTTTTAATAATAATTGGGATTTTTTTTAGAATGTGCAACAATCGGGAAAAGAAAAGAAGTGTTGTTGGGCATGCAGCCGATGTGGAAACGATGAAGTTGTTCATCCGTATGATAACACCCGTTGTGAAAAATGTTTAAACGGATCTGCGCCAAATACTAATCAAACAGGTTAATTAATTAATGTTTAATCAAATTAATACTCTATTTTTTAATTCGGAGAAGTAAAATGAAAAGACACGTTACAGTGTAATTTTTGTATACATCTCTTAAGAAAGCATAATCCGTCAAAAGATCTACCACTACACCTGAGCAACAGTTCAGATCTGCAGTTTTATTTGATAAAGTCAAGGTCGCTTGATGCCGAAGCACTGCTATATCTGTGGCAATATGATGACCAGTTTCAGATAGAATGTTGGATAGGGTTAGTTTTGTTTACAAATGACAATCATCCCCGGAAGGAATGTTGCGAAAGTCAGTTTTCTTTTGAAATGTTAAACATCCAGGGGAAAGAAGAATGTTACGTTAGTTTTGTTTTGAAACCCTAATTATAGCGTGAAGGAATGTTAAGACAGGTAGTGTTCTTTTAAAACTCCAATTAAAGCGTGAAAGAATGTTAGGATAGGTCAGTTTTGTTTTGAAACCCTAATTATAGCGTGAAGGAATGTTAAGACAGGTAGTGTTCTTTTGAATCTCCAATTAAAGCGTGAAAAACCCCTAATTAAAGCGTGAAGGAATGTTAGGATAGGTCAGTTTTGTTTTGAAACCCTAATTATAGCGTGAAGGAATGTTAAGACAGGTAGTTTTCTTATGTAACTACAATTAAAGCGTAAAGAAACCCTAATTAAAGCGTGAAAAAATGTTAGGATAGGTCAGTTTTGTTTTGAAACTCTAATTATAGAGTGAAGGACTGTTAAGGCAGGTCCTTTTCTTTTGAAGCTCCAATTAAAGAGTGAGGAAACCCTAATTACAGCGTGAAGGAATGTTGGGATTATTATTATTATTATTATTGCTGCCGGGTTGAGGAGGGCGGCCCCTCTCGTTACCGCGACCTATAAGATCTATTGTAACTTTAGCCCTCCAAAGGTTTAGGGCAAATGTAGGTCCTTAATGAACCTTAGTATTGTCCTGAGGTCTTGAACCTTTATGTCGGTAGGTAACAGGGGAGTTTTACCGAAGACGTTGTGCCTTAGACGTCCTCTGGCGACGCAATTGCACAGTATATGTTCAGCAGTTTCTGACTCGTCGTTGCATAGTCGACAAGTTTGATCCTCAGCTTGTCCAATGTGGAAGAGGTGGTATTTTAGGGGCACATGGCCGGTTAGGTAGCCTGAGAGCGTTCTTAGATCCCCTTTGCTGAGGCATAAAACCTCTTTGGTTTTGTTTTGCGACGGAGTTATCATACTCTTCGCTTGTCTGTGACCTGGAAGTTCTTTCCAGCGTAAGGCTATCTTTGAAGCCTCCCAGTTGTTGATTATTTGTTTTAGGTGGCTTTTTTGTAGTCCACATCCAGGTTGGGGTCCAATGAAGGGCGTGTTTGCTGCCTCTTTGGCCAGCTTGTCGGCCTTCTCATTGCCCTCAATGTTGCTGTGACCTGGAACCCACCATAGGGTAACATCATTGCCCCTAGCGAGTTCTCTCAGGTTGTTGGTGCACTCTCTGATCAGTGCGGAGCCACACGTGTAGGCCTGAATTGCCTTTAAGGCGGCCCGACTGTCTGTGAAAATGTTTATGGATGCACCTTTTTGTCCCTTCTGTAGGTTCAAAGCGGTGCAGAAGTTTATAGCAAGAACTTCTGCTTGGAAAATTGTTAAGTCCGAGCTGAGGGGCAATTTGATGTGGCTATTTGGTCCACTGATGCCCATGCCTACTCCAGATCTTACTGTCTTTGAAGCATCGGTGTACCAGGCTAGGGCTCCTCTTTTTAGTTGAGGCCCTCCTTTCGCCCAATCATCCCTGCTACTAAATATGACCTTATACGGTTGGTTGAAATTGTATTCCGTCGGTATAAGGTCCGTTTTAATTTCAATCAGGTGATTTAGACATGGGTCTTTGAGGATCTCGAGGTGTCCTCTGAGATTACCCTGCATCAACTTGAGTGAAGAAACTGTTTTCAGTGATAAGGCACTTAAGGCTGCCTCCTTTTGTATATATATGTGGAGCGGTGTGAGACCGAGTAGGGCTTCCAAAGCAGCCGTCGGACAGGATCTCATTGCACCCGTTATGTTAAGACATGCTAACCGCTGGATTTGTGCCAGCTGTTGTTGAGCTGTCTTATGTTTTGTTTTTGGCCACCAAACCAATGAGGCGTAGGCGACCATGGGTCTGATTATTGCTACGTAGGCCCAATGAGCCATTCGTGGTTTGAGACCCCAGTTCCTTCCTAGGAGCCTGCGGCAGATCTGGTTTGCCATGATGGCCTTTTTCCTCACCTTATCTAAGTGTGAGTTCCAGTTTAGTTTACTGTCAAGTATTACCCCTAGGTATTTAGTTTCTGTTTTGAGGTTAATAGTTCTGCTTTCAATGGAGGGTGCTTTTATTTGTAGCTTCCTTCTCCGAGTGAAAGGGACTATTTCGATTTTATTGGGATTGATGCTGAGCCCATTGCTTCTGCACCAAGTACTGGTGAGTAGTAGGGCTTTCTGCATTAGCTGAGTTATGATTGAATCATATTTACCTCGGATTGTGATTACCAGGTCATCAGCATACCCTTGTATCTTAAATCCGTTTTTAGTTAGGGTGTTCATCAAGTCATCAACTACCAGGCACCATAATAGAGGTGATAGCACTCCCCCTTGGGGACATCCTCTTAGCGCCTTTATAGTCAGCGACTCGCCTCCCAGACTGGCTGTGATCTGCCGACTTTTCAACATGGCTATACACCACTTGATTGTCGACGGATGTATGTCTTTTACGTTTAAAGCCTTCTCTATGGATTCATATGAGGTGTTATCAAACGCACCCTCTATATCTATGAAAGCACAAAGGGCTATCTCTTTGGTTGCAATTGCCTCCTCTAAGGTGCTAGTCAAAGCATGGAGAGCGGTAATTGTTGATTTTGCTTTCTGGTAAGCATGTTGGCTAGGGTGGAGTGGATTTGTGAGAAGCACTCCGTTCCTTAGGTATTGATCGATTACCTTTTCCATCCCTTTGAGGAGAAATGAAGTTAGGCTAATTGGTCTGTACGCCTTGGGGTCCGCGTTTGAACGCCTACCACCTTTGGGTATGAAGACCACCTTTACTTTCCTCCATAGAGTGGGTATATAGCTAAAGCTGTAGCTAGCTATATATAGGGATATTATTATTGGGAGAAGTTCTTCTAAGCCTTTTTGCAGAAAGATAGGCAGAATTCCATCTCCTCCAGGTGATTTTAGGGGCTTGAAATTCGAGATAGCCCACCTTACTCTGTTGGGTGTGAAAATATTCCCAGCTGTGCTGCGAACCCTACCTGATGGACGGGTTATGTCCATTACTTCAGGGTCGGCATCTGCATGGGGGCAGACTTTTGAGGAAGGAAAGTGTGTACTCAGTAGGAGCTCCAACGATTCCTTAGCATCCTCTGTATATTTACCATCTTGTTTGCATAGGTGGCCTAGATCAGTCTTGTGATCTTTTGCCAAGATCTTATGCAGACGAGCAACTGTAGGCGTATTGTCTATGCCTTCACAGAAGCTGCGCCAGGTTTTTCTTTTGGCTTTGCGGATAGCCAAGTTATATTCCGTTAGGGCTTTTCTATAGACATCCCATGTTTGCTCAAGTTTGGAATTCCTGACTTTATTATATAAAATGTTGGGATAGGTCAGTTTCAAGTCCTCAGACGCACGGCTAAACCCGAAACTTTCTAGTTCTAGGTCTAGTATTAGTTCTAAAACTAACACAAGACCTAGAACTAGAATAATTCTGGTTTAGCCATACTGAGCGACGTGTGGCTAAACCCGAATGTTTCTAGGCGGCCGGAAACATCTCTAATTTGCTTAAAACTGACCAATAATACACTTCCGAATTAAAAAATAGAGTATAATTAATTGTTAAAAATTAACCAAAAAATTTTGACAAATGTCAAAAATGACATTTTTATAACCTCAAAAAAATAAATATATTTTTTTTTAATTTTAGATTGTATAAAACTTCCGATTGTTTACACAAAATGGAGCGATGCCGAAGCAATTATCGCAATGACTTTTTCAATAATCGGTTTAATAACAACAATTTCTTCTTTTGTGGTTTTTTTAAAACACAACGATACTCCGGTTGTTAAATCTTCGACGCGAGAACTTTCTTATATAATTTTAATCGGGATGGGTTTAGCGTACGCTTCGGTTTATTCGATTTTGGCGAAACCCTCGATGATTTCTTGTGCTTTAGAAAGAACGTTGCCTGGATTAAGTTTCGCTATGATTTATGCCGCCTTATTGACGAAAACTAATCGAATCGCACGGATCTTAGCGGGATCGAAGAAGAAATTTCCCTCTTCTCGTAAACGGATGTTTATGTCGACGACATCTCAAGTTGTTATCACTTGTATTTTGATCGGAATTGAGATTGTTGTATCAACTTGGATGTTGTTTTATGAATTACCCGATAGTCAATTTAGTTACGAGAAGACTAAAACGGTTTTGGAATGTAATACGAGTCCGAAAGGGGTATTGGTGCCGTTAATTTATGATTTTTTATTAATTTTCTTTTGTACTTTGTATGCTTTAAAAACAAGAAATGTTCCGGAAAACTTTAATGAAGCGAAATTTATTGGTTTCGCAATGTACACAACGTGTGTTATTTGGGTTGCGTTCGTTCCGATTTACTTTGGGAGTAATTCAAAAGTTATCACTTTTTCAATGTGTGTAACTTTAAGCGCGATGGTTACTTGGGCTTTTTTATTCGTCCCAAAACTTTATATAATCATTTTGCGACCGGAACGAAATAATCGCTCGTTTTTTACAACTAGTAAAACGATTCGATGTCATATTGGTTCGAGGGTTGCTTCTGCTTTATCCGAGAAAAGTTCTATTAGTAATAGTTGGAGGGATGAGCATTCAACGACGACTTTTAAAGAAAATTCTAATGATGAAGGACCAGATAAAAGAACGTTATCGTGCCAAACCGAAGTTGAGTTATTACAGGTACTTCTAAATCCTAAAATGTTGTTGGAAAGTTATGGAAATAGGACGCAGAGGTTAACGCCGAGAATTACGGAAAGGAATTGTTGCCAAACTGAAAATTGCGAGTTGAAGAATATTACTATCACACTTCCAGATCAAGCACTTTAATTATTTTAATTAATTCTAGTTAAAAAAGTGGACCAAAAAAATTGCAAATTCCTTATTTTAGTCAAAAGTCTTCCAAAAACATTTTAGAAACTTATTTATATTTTGTTATTAATTAGATTAGAAATAAATAAATTTCTTTTAAAATGTTTGTCTAAAAATTAAAAAAAAAATCCGCCCGAGCAGGGACTTGAACCCTGGACCCTTGGATTAAAAGTCCAATGCTCTACCGACTGAGCTACCCGGGCACTTGCTAATAACACACTAAATGACATAATAGTATATTAAAAAATTAGTTTTGTATGACAAAAAATGTTTTATCCCCCGAAATAAGAGAAATTGCTCAGAGATCTATTAAGACACTACCTCCAGAGAGTACATCCGATGCTGTAATGGGATTTTAGTAACATTATATGGAACCAATTCAAATTGTTACATTGACAACTAGAAAAATTAATGGCCCAATGTCACCAACTTGAACTGGATCCATAAAATGTTACTAAAATCTCATTACAGCATCGTTTGCTGTAAGAAGTCTCATTACAATACCCCTTATAGCTTTCATTACCGTCGCGAATTAAAAAAAATGTATATTAAAAAACAAGTTTCGTAAGACACGTTTGAAATGCACGAATTCAAGTTGAAAAACGAGTGGCGAACCCACGAGTTTTTTAATGAATGAGTGCTTTAAGTCTTATGAAACGTGTTTTTTATGCTATTTTTTGTAATTCGCGTTTTTATCCTTTTTTTTAACAAAAATAAAATAAATTTTGACAATGTAGGGAAATAGGTATGTAGCAGTTGGTAAAACCGTAATACTTGAAAATAGAAATTTGAATTGACAATTAGAAACTGTCAAAACACAAAATATATTCACCTGACAAAAATGTTTCATGTACACCTCCCAAAATAAGAGAAATTGCTGAGAGTTCAATGTCCTCATCATTGTGGACCTTGTATTCGATGCAAAGAACGTGTTTAAACATCCATAGCAAACATTGTCACATTGACCATGGTGTTGCAATCTTACTACTATAAAAATGTAGACCGAGATTTAGTACCCTCACAATCCACTGGATGACGTTGTAGACTGAATTTGCAGCAATCTGCATTATCTACACAAACAAAGCGCTTGAAACCATAGAAAAATTTATGTGTAACGTCAAACTCAGAGGTGAAAGCAAACGTCACATTTTTGTTTTGTCGTTTAGTGTGATAACCCCGTTGTATAAGCAAATTTTCTTCCTTACGTTCATTTGGCTTAGTGTTGTATATTCTTTAGTTAAGTATTTAAATAAGTTAGGGCCACTTTTACCACCTCTTCATAACTTTATCCGATAGATAAATTGGCGCTCTTAGCCAATGAGAGCAATATACATATAATACGTTAAAAATTATGAATATTATCTTGGAAAAACTTTAAATTAATATTTTTTCCTATTTATTTGGAAAATGCGCTTTACCTCCTCAAAATAAAGTAATGGTATAAACCGGTATAGAAATACCTATATTTAAATTTCGCGCTTTAACTTAATTAGTTCCATCACAATCCCCTTGGGAGCGCTTATACCAAAAAATAGTGGAGAGATCACCTTCTATATACATAATACATATAAATTTTTCTATGACATTGACAACTAGAAAAATTAATGACCCATTGTCACCAACTTGAACTGGTTCCATAAAATGTTACTAAAATCTCATTACAGCATCGGATGCTGTAAGGAGTCTCATTACAGCACCCGTTTGAATACTGTTATAGCTTTCATTACCGTCGCGAATTACGAAGTATTTCGAAGTATATTAAAAAATTGAAATGCACGAATTCAAGTTGAAAAACGACTGGCGAACCCACGAGTTTTTTAATGAATGAGTGCTTTAAGTCTTATGAAACGTGTTTTTTATGTTATTTTTTGTAATTCGCGTTTTTATCCTTTTTTTTTAACAAAAATAAAATCAATTTTGACAATGTAGGGAAATAGGTATGTAGTAGTTGGTAATGCCGTAACACTTGAAAATAGAAATTTGAATTGACAATTAGAAGCTGTCAAAGCACAAAATGTATTCACCTGAAAAAAACGTTTCATGTACACCTCCCAAAATAAGAGAAATTGCCAGTGTTCAATGTCCTCATTATTGTGGACCTTGTTTGTATTCTAACTAGAAAAATTAATGACCCAATGTCACCAACTTGAAGTGGTTTCATAAAATGTTACTAAAACCTCATTACAGCAGTAAGAAGTCTCATTACAGCACCCGTTTGAGTACCGTTTACACCTTCATTACCGTCGCGAATTACAAAAAAAAGATAACAGACTAAATATTAACTTACCCCAGAAAATGCGGCCTTTCCTAACACCATACTCTTTTCCTTTCCTTATGTGCTGTATCCCTGCGAAAGAAGTAAAAAAAAATAATTACCCTTTTATAACATAAGTTAATTTGAAGCATAAACAATGTAAATAAAATTAAGGTTATGTCGTTAAGTGAGGTTATCTTTTACATCTTCATAAAAAAATTTATTTCCATATTCAATACAACTAATACAAAAAAACTTATTTTAAGCTCCTTCTTTTATCATTCGAATACATCTTTGTACTTTATCCTTATTTTTAATATACCATTTCATCCATTCGGCAACCTGCACATTACTCCGATCACCTTGAACCTCTAATTGTTGATAATAAGCTTCTCTTATAATTCGAAAACAATGACTATTATGATATGGTAGGCAAGTGATTGGATCTATATATTTTGCAGGTAAACTACAAGTAAATTAATTTTAATAAATTACCTTTTTAATAACTTTGCTCCCACTTACTTTGTGATTGTGCATTTAATTTTTTTGGGATAATTCGGTTTTGGTTTTAAATTAAAAATTTTCGCAAAACTAACATCGTTAGGATCATTAGCGACACTAATAAAGGTACGTTCGTAAAATCGTTTAATTTCCTTTTTATCATCATCTTCTTGTTTAGTTTCGTCAGAAATTTCTTCGATAATTGGAAACTTCAACGATTGATAGATAATAGTGGGGCCATTAAAAACTTTTTTAACCGGTCTTCTTGATTTCTTTTCACTTTCAAGTCGTTGATATCTTTCGAGGGATTGCAAATTTTCTTTTTCCGTTATTTTAGCTTCATCGAGGAGCTCTTGTTGAGTCGGCATCCAAGTTTCTTCCCTCGGTCGTTTTACTTTCCTTTTTTGCTCTAAATTTCTTACTTTTATTCTTTGTGCTGTCGCAGCCGATTTCGCTGCTGTTGATTTTCTAATTGATTTTCTTTCAACCCTTTCAAGGTTATATTCATCTTCAAGCTTTATTTTTTGAATTACAGGTTTTGGTTTTTGAATTTTCGGTTTTTGTTTAACCTCTTGTTTTACGGGTTCCTATAAAAACGTTACTTAAACACCTATCGTAACAATTAAAGATTATTACTTTATACGCTTTTGTCACCAATCTCCGCTTTTTAGGTTGCGATTCATTATCTTCGTTATCAGAGACAGGTTCATCATTTTCATCAATACTAAAATCTGAATCGACGATATCTTCACCTTCCTCTTCAGCTCTAACGATGAATTTTAATAAAAATACGTTAAAAAAACGTTTTAAGCATTTTCTTACTCATATTCGTTGTCGCTTTCGGTGTCAGCAAATCCACCATAATTAACCTTGTAAAAATCATCTTGACATTCTTCCTCTTCATTGAGGAGTTTCGACATGCGGTTACCCGCATTTGCGCGTCGTTCTCTTTGCATTTTTTATATAAATAATCACGGAACAATTCAAAACAACTTTTTAGAAATTGTAAACAAATTTGACAAGTTAGGTTAGATTAATTTTTGGGGGATTTCAATATTTTTAGTTATCGAAAAATATTTTAAGTTAATTACTCATTTTGTTAATAAAATGATTGATAATTACGTATAACAATTTTTTTAATTATCGTAGTTATATTAACAAAGTTTGCGTTTTTCAATTCAAAACACCTTTTTAGAAATTGTAAACAAATTTGACAAGTTAGGTTAGATTAATTTTTGGGGGATTTCAATATTTATAGTTATCGAAAAATATTTTAAGTTAATTACTTATTTTGTTAATAAAATGATTGATAATTACGTATAACAATTTTTTTAATTATCGTAGTTATATTAACAAAGTTTGCGTTTTCAATTCAAAACAACTTTTTAGAAATTGTAAACAAATTTGACAAGTTAGGTTAGATTAATTTTTGGGGGATTTCAATATTTTTAGTTATCGAAAAATATTTTAAGTTAATTACTTATTTTGTTAATAAAATGATTGTTAATTACGTATAACAATTTTTTTAATTATCGTAGTTATATTAACAAAGTTTGCGTTTTTGTTGCAAATTAGGGAATTCGATGATTTGTGTTGGTGAATCTGAGTGTCAATTTAGATTAATGTCAAAAGCCCTGGTAACCTCAAAATCCCCAAAGTCCGCTTGTTTCGTTGCAAATTTTGCATTTTTTACTCGTTTAGATACGATTACCACACGCAAATACATCACCAGCAATGCTAATTATAAAACCGTAAACGTTGTGAACGAATATTATGACCCGGAAGGCGATAAAACAAATTTTAAGTACATAACCATCATGTTAAAGGTAAATGATACATTTACCTGTTTATTTTGTTTTAATTATTAGTTATTGTTAGGAAAAGGGTCAAATAAAATTTGAAGATAAATGGCCTTATATGCGGCCGATAGTTTTAAAACTATTACGTCAAGATCCGGTTTCACAACCAGAATGGCAACAGCTTTTTTACGATGTTCACTTGGTGTGTTTGTGGGACGAAAAAGGACCGATAAAATTGCGGGATCACCTCCAAGAGGATATCGTTCAATTTATAAAACAAGCCCAAATACGGGTTTTATCACATAAAGAAGAACAAGCTCTTTTAAAGGCTTATATCGCTGAATGGCGTAAATTTTTTACACAGTGTAATTATTTACCGACTCCGTTTAGACAATTAGAAACCAGTTTGCAAGGAAAACAAACAACGGGAACGACAAACGTTCAAAATAACACCAAGAAATGTGAAGAAAGCATCGTTAGGAAATTAATGTTAGACTCCTGGAACGAAAGTATTTTTATGGATATCAAACGAACGTTACAAGAAAGCGCTATGAAGCTAGTTCATGCTGAAAGAAACGGGGAAGCATTCGATTCTCAATTAGTTATAGGAGTACGAGAATCTTACGTAAATTTATGTTCAAATGTGGATGATAAAATGCAAATTTATCGTGAAAATTTCGAAGGCGCGTACATTCAAAGCACAGAAATGTTTTACAAATTAAAAGCACCGGAATATTTAGCAGACAATGGGGTACAAGCCTACATGCGCTACGCTGATAGTAAATTAAAAGAGGAAGAAATCCGTGCTCAAAAATATCTCGAAATTGGAAGCATTGGGGTTATTCAATGTTGCGTTAATGTTTTAGTTGGAAACGCTTTGCCGTTACTTTTAGCAGAGTGCACGCCTTTAATAAAAGCAGGTGAAACAACTCGGTTGCAATTGATGTTTCGATTATTAGAAAGAGTTCCCGAAGGTGTTCAACCGATGCTCGGTGAATTAGAATCACATATAACTCAAGCTGGTTTAGCAGATATGGTTGCAGCGGCTGATATAATAACCCAAGATTCTGAAAAATACGTCGAGAGGTTATTAGATTTATTTCGAAAGTTTAGTACGTTGGTACATGAAGCTTTCGATGATGATCCAAGATTTTTAACGGCACGCGACAAAGCATTTAAAGCGGTCGTTAATGATACAACCGTCTTTAAATTAGAATTAAACACAAATCGAAATGTAACATCGAAATGTTCCCCTGAAAGTAAATGTCCCGAGTTATTAGCAAATTATTGCGACATGCTTTTAAGACGTACTCCTTTATCAAAACGACTGACAACCGATGAAATTGAATCAAGATTAAAAGATGTACTTTTAGTTTTAAAATATGTATCGAATAAGGACGTGTTTATGCGGTATCATAAGGCTCATTTAACGAGGAGATTAATTTTAGACGCAAGCGCCGATAGTGAAAAAGAAGAAGATATGGTCGAGTGGTTGCGCGAAGTTGGAATGCCCGCTGATTATGTTAATAAATTAGCGAGGATGTTTCAAGATATTAAAGTCAGCGAAGATTTGAATACGCAATTTAAAACTTCAACAGCGCGACACGATGCTATTAATATAAAAATATTAAATGCCGGCGCTTGGGCGAGAGGTTCCGAAAGAGTCACAGTTAGTCTTCCTGTCGAACTCGAAGATTATATCCCTGAAGTAGAAGAATTTTACAAAAAAAAACATTCAGGACGAAAACTTCAATGGTACCACCATATGAGTAACGGCACGATAACATTCGCAAATGAAGTTGGTAAATTCGATTTGGATGTAACAACGTTTCAAATTGTATTGTATCTATCCACAAACTGGCTTTCTTCTCATCACACAATGTCCTCAGCCTAGTCAAGGTAACTTCTTGAACTTAATTTCCCTGCTCGCCAAACATAATTCAACTCTAAGTTTAAATTAGAACACTTAAAAAGGGATAAGTATCATATTTATCAAAGACAATATAGAATGAAATGATTAACATAATGGCGCAAAAACAGTTAGAAATAGTATTTTAAATGACCTCAAAGAAGCCAAATACTACACTATAATGTTCGACTGCACTCCAGATCCCATACAGAACAAATGAGCCAGGTAATTCGATATGTAAAAAGAACTGGAGANTTATCTCTCACATGAATCTACGAAAGCTATTCATTATCTAATTTTTATAAATAAATTACGATAAAATAATAAATTCTTCTAATTAATACTAGAAATAGAAACATTCGAGTTTAGCCAAGCGTCTTTAGTTTTGCACTAACATTATCACTAGAACTAACACAAGACCTAGGACTAGAATCATTCGGGTTTAGTCGTCTTAAGAGACGTTGCCAGTTCTCGGTCTAGTGTTAGTTCTAGTTTTACACTAGAACTATCATTAGGTTGCTTATTTTTATCGAATTAAAACTAGAACTACTAAATCTACTGAATCACTAATTGATATCATTTGTATACCAATTGGAGCGCAGGCTCTCGAAGCTGGTGCGAGAGATATGTTAACTTCGACTGATCATAAATGTATTTTTTGTCGAATNAGAAACATTCGAGTTTAGCCATGCGTCTTTAGTTTTGCACTAACATTATCACTAGAACTAACACAAGACCTAGGACTAGAATCATTCGGGTTTAGTCGTCTTGGAAGACGTTGCTAGTTCTCGGTCTAGTGTTAGTTCTAGTTTTACACTATCACTAGAACTAACACAAGACCTTGAACTAGAATTATTCGGCTTTGGCCATCTTGAGTGACATGCGGCTAAATCCGATTATTTCTAATTCTCGATCTAGTGTTAATTCTAGTTTTAATTGTTATTACTTTTAGTTTTAGAATATGTATCAAATAAGAACGTGTTTATGCGGTATCATAAGGCTCATTTAACGAGGAGATTAATTTTAGACGCAAGCGACGATAGTGAAAAAGAAGAAGATATGGTCGAGTGGTTGCGCGAAGTTGGAATGCCCGCTGATTATGTTAATAAATTAGCGAGGATGTTTCAAGATATTAAAGTCAGCGAAGATTTGAATACGCAATTTAAAACTTCAACAGCGCGACACGATGCTATTAATATAAAAATATTAAATGCTGGCGCTTGGGCGAGAGGTTCCGAAAGAGTCACAGTTAGTCTTCCTGTCGAACTCGAAGATTATATCCCTGAAGTAGAAGAATTTTACAAAAAAAAACATTCAGGACGAAAACTTCAATGGTACCACCATATGAGTAACGGCACGATAACATTCGCAAATGAAGTTGGTAAATTCGATTTGGATGTAACAACGTTTCAAATGGCGGTTTTATTCGCTTGGAATCAACGTCCAAATGAAAGAGTTAGTTATGAAAATTTACGTTTAGCTACAGAACTTCCAGACCCGGAATTACGAAGAACCTTGTGGTCTTTAGTGGCCTTCCCCAAATTAAAAAGACAATTATTGTGTTATTCCCCGATCGTTTCGCAAGCTAAAGATTTTGCCGAACACACCTTGTTTTGGATCAACCAAGAATTTTCATTGGTTAAAAACGGGAAGCCGCAAAAACGCGGAAAAGTGAACCTAATCGGACGATTACAATTAAGCACGGAACGGTCGCAACTTGAAGATAATCATTCGATAGTTCAATTAAGAATACTCAGGACTCAAGAGGCGATTATTAAAATTTTAAAAATGCGTAAGAGGATCACCAACGCCGCGCTTCAAGCGGAACTTGTTGATATACTGAAAAATATGTTCTTGCCATCGAAAAAAATGATTAAAGAACAACTCGAATGGCTAATCGAACATAAATATATGCGAAGGGATGATGACGACATAAATACGTTTATTTATATGGCGTAAAAAGTCCGTTATTATTATTATTTTAATAAGTCCTATTTTTTTTTTCTTTTCGTATTTTCTATTATACTTATGTATTTTTCTGTTCTTTCTTATACAACTTTAAAATTGAAATGTAATAAAAGTTTTAAAAAATATATAGGCAACTTATTTTGTTCCCTAGAAAAAATGGTTGCATAACTTTAAGTTGTTGACAGATAAATTTGGGGTTATCTTATTTCTCACATGAATCTACGAAAGCTATTCATTATCTAATTTTTATAAATAAATTACGATAAAATAATAAATTCTTCTAATTAATACTAGAAATAGAAACATTCGAGTTTAGCCATGCGTCTTTAGTTTTGCACTAACATTATCACTAGAACTAACACTTGACCAAGGACTAGAATCATTCGGGTTTAGTCGTCTTAAGAGACGTTGCTAGTTCTCGGTCTAGTGTGTTAGTTCTAGCTTTACACTAGAATTATCATTAGGTTGCTTATTTTTATCGAATTAAAACTAGAACTAGAAAATATCGGGTTAGGTTGGGCAATATATAGGCAACTTATTTTGCCCCCTAGAAAAAATGGTTGCATAACTTAAATTTGTTGGCAGATAAATTTGAGGTTATCTTATTTCTCACATGAATCTACGAAAGCTATTCATTATCTAATTTTTATAAATAAATTACGATAAAATAAATTCTTTGAGAAACATTGTTTGAATAATTTAAATAAAAACATTCTTTTTAAATAACATTAATAACCAGCAAAAACACTCACTACGCAAACACAACAAAGTTAAACTCGATTATCTTTGTTAATAACCCATTTTAATTATAAATGAAAACGAATAGATTGAGATAAAATTCAACCCATTTAAAATTAACACTCCAAAACAAGATTTATCTTTTAATCTGATTGGTTGTTGTTGTGTTAAATTCCCCGAAGCTACATTATATAAGATAAAAAAAGGAATTAAAAGTTAGTTGTTGTTGTAACGCTAAAAGAGAAAGGTCTAAACATGTCTCAACGAAATGAAAAGATTGCGATAGTAGGAAGGTAAATTTTAAAACTTTGTTATAAAACTTGTACTTATTAAAAATTTTGTTCATAGCGGATTAATCGGTCGTTCTTGGGCAATGTTATTCGCAGCCGTGGGTTATAAAGTAACCTTGTACGACATAGAAACCTCGCAAATAGTAACGGCCTTGAAGGATATAGAGCAACAACTCAATACACTTCAACACTCGGGACTTTTACGTGGAAAATTAAACGCATCTGAACAATTCGATTGTATAAAAGCAACTGTAAATCTACAGGAAGCTTTAAAAGATGCTATATTCGTACAGGAATGTGTCCCGGAAAATTTAGAATTAAAGCGAAAAGTATGGAAAGGTGTCGATGATTTACTTCCCATCGGATCTGAAACGATTCTTTCTTCATCTACTTCGACTTTTATGCCATCATTATTCAGCGAACATTTAATAAATAAGCAAAATATAATCGTTTCGCATCCGGTTAATCCACCTTATTATGTTCCTTTGGTTGAAATTGTTCCAGCACCGTGGACCAAACCCGATATTGCAAAAAAAACGAGAAAAATCATGGAAGAAATCGGCCAAAGTCCGGTTAGTTTAAGCAGAGAAATCGAAGGTTTCGCTTTGAATCGAATCCAATACGCGATATTAAACGAAACGTGGAATTTAGTTGCCGATGGGATTCTAGACGTTAAAGATGTCGATAAGGTTATGTCCGATGGGTTGGGGATGAGATACGCCTTTTTGGGGACTTTAGAAACGACTCATTTAAACGCGGAGGGATTTAAGAACTATTGCGAACGTTATTCGAATACGATTCATGCCGTTAGTCAAACGTTTAAACCTTTACCGAAATTTGAGGGGGTATTAGTTGGGGAAATTGCCGAACAGCTTGAAAAGGAAATTCCGTTGGAAAAATTACAAGAAAGGAGAAATTGGAGGGATGCTTGTCTAACTAAGTTGAGCCAATTAAAAAAGAAAATGAATGAAACTGATTAATAAAAATATATTAATAATTTTGAGTATTTTGTGTTGCCTAAGCTGTTTATTAATGATTAATGATAATTAAAAGATTTATAAAAACAGTGAATTTCACTTATAATGCAATATACAGGGTGATTCACATAAGAACCGACACAGAGTATATATCTCTATACTAAGTTGTATCCCTGAGGAGTTATAGGCCTTCAAAGTTGGGTCTTAAACTTTGATTATATATAAATATGGATTGAGCTAACTGAATATATCTACTAACAAAAATGTTGCTCAAGGTGAATAGACGCAGATGGAAAGCGATAATGTGAAAGTGTAACAAAGATAGATATATTATATGTCAGTACGCTTCTATATCTATCTCACTTCTATCAGTACACCCATTATATGGCAGTACGCTTCTATATCTATCTCACTTCTATCAGTACACCCATTATATGGCAGTACGCTTCTATGCTATCTCGGTTCGATCACCTTGCGCAAGCTATCTCTCTCGTTGGCTCAATCCATATTATATATAATCAAAGG